GGGAAAAAACACACACACACACGAGAATTGGTGGGTGCAGGCAATCGTCCGTAGGATGTAGGTCACGCTCCTCTTGCCTCGCCGGCCCAACGAATCGCCGATGGACGGAGAATTAATCTATTTATAACCGACCCCCGACTAGAGATCGCTTTTCTATCACCACCGGCAAAACGGTGGAGCCCATTTCTCGCTCCGCAATATGAACATTTTCCCCGCCACGTTTTCCTTCTTTCTTTCTTTCTTTCTTTCTTTTTTTTTTTCAACGTTAACGCGAGGGCAATTGGTTCGATCCGTTGGTCAAGAGATCCGGTGACTGCAGAAAATGAGATAACGGAATTAATGAGCTACTGTGTTCGAGAACAGAAGGGACCTTAATCAAGCTTCGTTGGGATGCGCGCCACGACAAACCGGCCGGTGTTCTTGATCACGTCTCTGAAGCGTCTCTGAAACTCCCTTTCTTCCTTCCTTCCTTTTCTTTTTTTTTTTTTTTCACCACGCTTGCCAACTCCGCCAACTTGCCCTGGGTATCGCCTTGGGTATCATGGCCCAACTTTCTAGTTATGAAAACGAATCTTGGCAAAGAGTTGGGGGATGGACACGAAGCGATCGCGGATTCCGCCCGTTTCTATCAACTCGCCATCTGCCACCGACGACACGTCCGATCTTTGACCTAGCGCGGAGATTCGTCCCGCTCCTGATTGCCTTAAACGATATTAGGTTAAGATTCGTGACGAGACTTTGCAACAGGGTTTACGTATTGCGATGGATTTAATAAATGCGGAAATGGAAATTGCAAGATTTCGATTTATCTGCGTTTAGCGTTAAAATTTCTGCTACGTTTAGATAGCATATTTTCTCATATTGTGAATTTTGGAATGTTTGAAAATCACATGGATCTCGTGTCGAAGTTTCGAAGCCAATAATAACGATAGAAATTCTCGAATCATTTGACATGATTATTCGTTTTTCTTTGTTTAGCGTCGTGTAAGAATTCTAAAAACATTTCTGCTACATTATGGATTCATATTTTTCTCATATTGTGAATCTTGGAATGTTTGAAAATCATGGACCAATGGATCTCGTGTCGATGATACTCGTACATTTTCATATTGTAAATTTTGGGTAAAAAATTTGAAAATTTGTGACACGGATTGTCGAAGGCAATAACGACGCGACAGAGCTCAGTGGATACATTCAGACGCGTTTTGCGCGCAATATCACCTTTTTGCTAGGAATTTCGCTAGGACAGATATATTAGTACCGATCGATGCTATTAACTCGTTGGCGGTGTAGTGCGATCTTGTGTAGTGGCAAAAGAAGCCGAGTCCCTGATGCAGCTATCGGGGACGAGATAAACGAAGTTAATGAGCCACTCTTCGAGAACAGTGAAGTCCCCTAACTAGCAACACGTACACGTGCGCGCATACACGCACACGGTGGAAGGCCAATATACACTTGACCACGATCCTCGAACGATACATTCCGCCTTTGTTCTTCGTTCTGTCCCACTGTCCGGCCATTGTTTCGCGGCCGAGATTAGACGAGTTTCTTCTTCGTTGACAATGATCGATCGTGCCTTTACCTCGAGTTAACACACGAAATCCGTGCTTTTTCGCCCTAACGATTTCCATTAACCTCCCTTCGAGAAACGATCCTCCTTCGTGACCAGACTTTCTCTCTGATCAAACTGATCTAAATCGTACAGGAGGAAAAAAAAAAAAGAAAATCTCCTCGATTTTTATCTCGTTTCTTCTTCTTCTTCTTATTTCCCCTTCCTCCTCGATAAAAGCATTCTCTATCCGTAATTATCATCCTCCTCGTCTTCCTCGTTAATTCGAAAAATATTCCCTAAAATGTTGTTTCGTTTCGTTCGAAGAACGATCGATTTTTCAATTCATTCCTTCAAATTATTATATCCCTCCCCTTCTTCTATTTTCGTTAAAAGGCGAAACCGTGAAAGATTCGAACGATCAACAACCCCGTGGCAATCCCGTTCCCTCCTCCCTTCGTCGTGAAATTTTTCTCGTGAAAAATCGTGAAGCAAGAAGCTCGCAGGCATAAAAGGACACGCTCACGAGCGAGTTCTCTTGCAGAGGAGATGTTTCTACCAGCCGGCTTCTAGAATGCAAATTCGTTTAAAGAAGAAACGCTCTCTCGCTGAGTGCACGCATCGTGGAGAGCAGAAGTAGCGGCAGGAAAATCAGCGGCGAGGAATTGCGACGAGGACGACGACGAGGTCAATCCTCGTCGTGGATACGTCTTGGTCGGTATGCGCGCGTGCAACGACTTGGCTGACCGTGGGAAGCTGTCTTAGATGTTAGGTAATTGAAGAATTTCTCAGAAAATGGGCGCACGCGCGGACGTCCAACGGAGGAGCAAGTTCGAGGAGTTTACCTCTGGCGAGCAAGAAGCGAGAGTCTTGCTCTTTCAGACGCTTCGAGACCAGCTGCCTTCTTCGTCGGCAATTAAGCGTGACGCGATGCCATCGATTGACGGCTCGGATACCGTGCTTATACTTTAATTGCACGTGCAATTTTCCTACCGTTGAATACACGCGTTTCTCGGAAAGGAAGGAGAGGAGCGAAGGAAAGTTCGTGGAAATCGGAATTTTTTTTTTGTTTCTTCTACGAACGCTTCCGTCGAATGATTTTCAAATAAATTTTTCTCATCTCATAACTCTCGTAGCTACACTCAAGAGAGAGATCCATTTATTGGAACGAAATTTTCCTCGCGAATGCCTCGAATGAATAATTTATAATAAAGCTTCCACAAGAGCTTCCATTAAACGAGAGGATGAGAACAAAGACGTGACTCGTTACGCATAATTCGAGAAAAACGAACCATCGATCCGATTATATCCGACCGTGAACCAACCCCTTTGCTTCATTCGAGCGAAAAGTCACGAGCAATGGAAATCGGGCGCAACTTGTGTCGCGCAGCACCGATTTATCCCCGGATCGTGACTCGTATAAATGTATAGCACGAGTCGACACAACTTCGGGAACGAAGAAAATGCGATCGATAGAACCGAGATAGATCATTGCGGCGGCAACGGGCAGCAAGTGACGCAATTGTTTTACGAGCAATGGAGCTGTTGTTGCTCAACCCGTCCAATTATGAAGGCTCTCATAATCCCAGCTAATTAAATTCTATAACTTATTGCCCGTTGCGACACCGTGCCTCCTTTCGAACAAAAGTGGTGGAGGCACGCTGCGACGAGCGCCATCTAGAATGCAGATAGCGCGGGGAAAAACCGCGGATGAAACGGTTTAACCAGCGGGGTGGATCGGCGGGGAGCACAGCCGCAAATGACACCGAGCTAATTTTCCGGGTGGAAAATCACGAGGCCGGGAGAGCAGCTAGCGTAAACGCAACGTGTCGGTGACACCTCAACAAGTGGATACGGAACGCGTGCGCACGTGTCGCTGACACACGTGTGTGCACGCTGCGAGAAAATAGCCGATAAAAGGGCAACGAGGAGGGGGAGGAAAGTCGAAGTCATCGAAGCGGGTGCACCGCATCTCGTTGCAACTGCCGATTGGTTTCCGCCGCGGAATCCGAGATTAACCCGACGAAGTATTTTTTCCTCCGAATTCTTCCTTCCATCTTCAACTGATCATCGAATACCTTGTGAATTTCACATTTTTCACGATTCGACGGCGATCTTCGAGAGAGTTGCTCGATTCGAGAAGAAAAAGGGGGAAAAAGAAAAGTTCGAGTAGAGCTGGTATAAGAAAACTGATCGAAAGAGAAGCGAAAGGATGAGGGATAAATGGACGGAAGGAGAGAGAGAGAGAGAGAGAGAAGAAAATGGCGATAGAAGCGGAGGAAGAAGGGAAGAGTCCGTTATGGCGACCGTATTGCATCGCATTAACCGGTCGACCGAGTGATCTTGATCCCATCTCTCACCGCGACGGCGCCCTGCTTCTTCCCCTTTCGATCCTTCAAACTCGAACGTGATCCGGCCACTAACGATCGCAGCCGAGATCGTTGCTCTACGTGTTCGACGGAAACACACCGCCACGACCGATCTCAAGTGTTGGCACTTGCTTCTTCGATCCCTACACGATCCCCGTGAATAAAGGTCAACCGTGGCGTGTAAGCGATAATAAATCGTTAATCGTGTTGCATCAATCGTGATAATTCGATTTTCGTTTGTCGAGCTTTAAATCGATTAGAGACTACACACTGGATTCTCTTCTTAGAAACGTTTGGGGAAGAATTCTGCTTCTTCGATAAAAAGTACGTTTTCAAAGCGAACGTTTATCATGCGTTTATTATTCACACTTTTGACCAACCATCGCGTCGCATTTTCCCGCGCGATTTATGAACGATTGCCAGATGGCGCTGAGGAGTTGCGTAAACATAACACCCGGCAATTGCGTAATCCGTGGCCTTCCGATCGAAGACGCGACACGAAACTCGGCCAGGTCGATAACCTGCAGCCCGGTTGTGTTAATTAACACACGAGCCACCGGGGTTACTCCACTCGGGCCAGCCTCGACGAATTCCCGTTACCAACCTCGTTTCGCCTCTCATATTCTCGGCCAATTATCGCTCCGCGAATTTTCATAATTTTTTTATTCCCTCGTCCTCCGCCAAACGGATGCTTTAATCGACGCCACGACATTCGCCGTTCTATTTTTTCTTCCCCTTCTTCCTTCTCCTTCTTCTCTTCCTACTTTTCTTCTTCTTCTTCTTCTTCGAAAAAATGTTGGCGCGAGCGGGGGACGCGTTGAAACGTTTGAACGTTCGCGCTCGAGTCTTTCGGGCGGAGAAAATTAAAAGAGAAAATACGGAGGGAAAGGTGGTACGATCGAATAAATCTTAGCGGGGCACAATCGTTGGTAGATTCGATTCGGGGCCAGCGGCACGGAAGAGTACACACGTGGCAAAATCTCCCGCCGCAGATAGGCAACGTCTACGTGCTCCGTTACTCTGTAGATGATCAGACAAAGGGGGAGGGGAGGAATACGTATATATATATATATCACACTCACCTGAACGTCCACCAGATGTTGAAGCACATCGTGTTCAGCCAGAAGAACGCGGCAAGGAAGAAGAAGTGAGCCATGATTGCTGAAACAGAAAAATGGACTTGGTTAGTACGTACGTTCTTTTCGTGGTCTCGAGAAGAGCTTAAGGCTATCCCGCCGCTTTTCTTGTCCCTGGGAGAATTATTTTTCCCACGGAGCACGTGGAAATAAACGCTTCGATAACGAAATCGGGAGGAAATCGAGGAAGGATTCCTTTCTTGAAAAAAAAAAAAAAATTACGACGAGGTAATTCACCGATTCGATAATTTATTATCGAGATATAAAACGGATGTAAATAAATTGCTCGACTCGTTCGATAATTAAACGGCCGTTAAGAAGACAGACGAAGACATTACAAAGCAAAGTTATCGTTCACTTGTCAGAAGTAGTTCTTTCGACGAATTTCTTGCGACGATTTTCAAATCGTCGTTTCAACCCGAAATTACCGAAGCAAGATCCCCCTAATCAACGAACCGGGTAGATACAAAAGAGCTTCATCGACCTCCCCAACGCGTGTGCTTCCAGCTGACGGCACGCCGAACCCGTCGAAACAAAAGGAGACAACGCCGATTCCCAGCTTCGCGATGAACTTTCAAAGATTCATGAAGAGGAGGAGAGGTAGCAGGACTGTGGCTCATCCAGACAAAGCTCGGAGGGAGAGACAGCTTTTGTAAAGATCCGTTTGAAAAGACGGCCGCGCACCGGTTGACTGGGAACGCTTTTGGAGGAGGGGAGGGTAACACCGGGGTCTGGACTCGATAAATTTTTCACCCCTGTCGTCCGCACTCGTTCTTAGAATTCGCGGGAGGGTGGAGATACAACGTCGAGAGATCCGGCCGCGAGACTTGGCCGTATTAATTTCTGAAAACCTAATCGAAAACACGCGTCGATCGAAGAAGAAAAAAAAAAAAAATAACCACTTCTCGATCTTTTCGACGAGTTTGCAAATTTCCGTTTTGCAAAATTAATTTTTCAAAGGGGAATATGAAACGCGGAGAAATGCATACACGACAAGGGAGGAGAGGAAAACGGCCCTTTGACGGGGCAAATCCCCTCTTTCGGTTTGCCATTAATTTCTGAAAACGTAATCGCGGGACACGAGCGAAAACACACACGTCGTTTCGATGGAGGAGGACCCTTGCGAAAAAGGAGGGGGGAAAGGGTGGCGTTCGAGAAAAGAATGGGCCTGTGGCGAGCAAAGGAACCGAAAGGTTTCTACTTAGCTTTGTAGTAGTCGGTAGTTGCCGAGGGAGGCAACTCCTCGATGCTTGCGTCCGTTTGCGTAAGGGCGCAATGAATATATAAAAACGCAATATCGACGCGTTTACATAATGGCGGATGGAACAAAAAGGCTGGCGTAAATGGCGCCACCCCGCTTGATAAGTTTGATAGGGGTGGAGTGGGTTCGATAAATACGGCGGGGCAGTTTCGACATCTAAATTAATAGAATTGAATTGTCGTAGGTACATATTTAATCGTATCACCGGTATTGTTACAACCGACCGTTTTCCTCTATTCATTGGATCAATATTGGGCCAACGGTGTTTCCCAATAAACGAAGGTTGTAACGAGGCCGTGGTGGAGCGTTGTTGCGCAAAGCAATCGAATACGCGAATATGTATGAAACATGTATGAAAATATATCGCGTATAAAGGGTTGCGTTCTTTTGTGAAATTCCATCCTACTCGAAAAATTCGCCATCTCGAATGAATCGGGCAAATTTTAAATTTCTCTCAAAATGGCATTCGCATTTTGAAATCGCAATTTGTTACCAGTCGTCGACCAATAGGGCAGTCAGGTCGAAAAACTCGTCGCGTTCGTTTCATTTTCCACCCCCTACTTTCAGCCTCGATTCGTGAAAGCATCGCGGTGATACAGAGAGCATCCTTTGCGATAGAATATATCTCCGCGCGAATAGCTTTTTTTCCCCCGTTTGTTATTTCCCATGTATCCAAATTTCTGCCACTAGCACCCTCGTACGACATCAAATACGATATAAATACTCGCCAATTCGGAACGCGTGTAGAATGGCAGAAAATATTGTAAAAGGCTATTACAGCAATACGTGTTTTTTTTTTTTTTTTCGTTAAAATGCGCTACACTATTTCGTAAAATTTTATCTATTAATATATTGCATTGCAACAATTATCTCGTTCGAACCGAACAATTTTTTTAAAGGATATAATTATTATTTTGTGTCCCAGATAAATTGTACTTTTAAACTTTGTTTTAAATTTAAAAAAAAAAAAAAGCACGTTACTTGAAAATTTTAAATAATGCTAAAAGTATAAAGTATCCAAATCCGTTCTATACAATTTCAAAAATATTAAAAGCTTCAATTCCAATATCGAATACGGTATTTTTAATTATATTTATGAATATATCTCGACAAGGTATTTGTTGGAAAAAGAAGTTTCTTATAGAGTGTGATCCCGTTCTAACGGTGTACTTGTTCGCGTCGTATCTTGACTATCTCGCAACTCGTTACCACACGTCACATCGACAAAAGCGTGTTCAACGTGTGCTCAAGGAACGCCGATGACGCATGAGAAAGTTTTGTAACCGCTTTGCGATTTGCATTCACTTCTCGTTTAACGTATCGCCGCCAATCGCGAATGTTTATAATCGTAAGTTTTTTTCTCTCCCTCCTTTCCAATTATGCAACTAACATGAAATGGACAACCGTGCCGTACCGACTAATCAACGTGTGTTAGAGAAAGATCGTTCCAATTAACATAAAAAAACGTGAGAAAAAACGAACTACTACGAAAGGCCCTGGCCTCGAACAATTCGCCCGATCGAATTGAAGGGATTTGTAAATTTTCCGAATAGTTTTATAGAGGCTCGAGAAATGATGCAAGAAATTATCCTCGATGTTTTCATATTAGCCGCACAGTGTAAATCTTAAAATAAAAGAGATCTATGTTCTTTTTATTATTTTTGAAATAATAACAAGAATTTCCAAACTCAACGAAAATCTAATTTTCCTTTCCCACGTAACATTTAAGTAAATTCTACTTCGATTCCTATCCTATATTATGGTACCCAACCATAAGAACTTTTGTCTAAAAAGTTAACTCAAGAAAGAACAACCTGATCGAACACAATAACACGAATCGAATCGTTCATAATAAAATCATCCATACCCGATCCTCGGTCGCCACCCAGCCTCGAACCCACAAAATTAGACTTGTCCTTAGGCGTTCGAGGTTGATTAACAAAGCAGCCTCGAATGACGACGCTTGTCGACGGATTATTCCGCGGATGGTGTCGGATGGAACGGAAAGAGAGAGAGAGAGAGAGGAGGATTTCACGAAACACGAGGATTTTCCATTGGCTCGAGGTTGCTCGAAGCGGGATTAAGCGGGCGCCACGGCGGGAAAGTCGTCCGATAATTCTTCGTCGAAAGGCTTCCGCCGGCGGCGTTTATCGCGCGCCCCGGAAATAATTAAATTTCCAAAACTAATTACGCCTCGTTGCAATTACAACTCCTGCGACAATCATCCGTGAACGGGTACACGACACACCCTCGCGCTTCGGCTTAAACCGAAATCGTTTCCACCCGCCGCCTTCCACCCTCTTCCAACCCTTCTTTCCAAATTTACCGCTCGGACACGAACCGAGGAGATTGGCCGCCACTCCCCTCCGATAAAATTGCCGATAAACATCGAACGAGTTTAAAAATCGGAACATCGGATCGATTCTGATAAAATACGTTTAATTAATTTGTAATGCTAAACTTTTTTTCAAATTGTATCGTTACAAGTTTTTTGCTTTTCCTTTTTACTTCATTCACGCATTTTGTTATAAATTGTACTCGATATTTTATACCTCTTTATCGAAATCTCTCTACATCGTTAAAGTATCTTTAAACATACGACAGATTTTTTACAATTCAAATACACAAAAATGTATGTATATTTCCTTATAACGATTATTCTTAATTATTTGCGATCCGTGTTACTTGTATATAAATAAATACGTACAAACGTGAGACAATTTTCGAATCGAAATATTTCTAAAAAATATTCCAAAATAAAATTGTCTTATCTGGATTATCTTTTCGAATGAAAAAAAAAAAAAAAAGGATTAACCTTCGATATAGCATCGATTATAGTATTAACCACGATATCGATAATCGAGTCACGCTTCCTGTTTCCCTTTTCCTCGTTTCGAGACGAACGAAGAAGTTTCTTTGTCGAAAATTAGGGCTGGAAGGAGGATTGTGGAAAGTGCAAAAAGAGAGAGAGAGAGAGAGAGAGAGAGTAGTTCGCGATATCGCGGCCT